ATATATATATATATGTTATTGGCTGTTCCTGGTTTGATTTACAATTTTAAATAATTGTAAATATGAAATATTGCATTTTATTGTCCACGGTTTTTCTTGTATTCTGAATTTGTGTTCATGATAATGATGTAGGCCTATTATTAACTGTTGTATTTGGAAATTGATTTTGTTGTTTTTGTAGAGGGCCCTTTTTAATTGCTGTTAGTGTCACCCCCGTTAAATAAAGTTTTTTTTTTGTTCATAATTTCACAACAAACAACTTTACAGAGTACATCATAATAAAGAAAAAAACATGTCACTGATCACCAAGCAATGGAGCATCAGAAGTTGCGGCGGGAAAAAAAAACTACTTCAGTCCACCGGAACATTGACACAGCATGGAGCAATCCTCCAAATGGACCAGAACAGACATCCACCACACTGCCCACCCGCCCGCATTATTTTTTTTCCATACACCTAAAGAAAAAGATCTTATAAACACAAGATAGCGTTCTCCGCGATTTTACGCGTAAGAAATAGAAGCGTCGATTTGGCACAGAAAAGTACTCAGTTTTAGGAGAGGGCGGCCTAGTCGTTGCCATAGATCTGAGATAGGGTGTTCGCGTACGCCAAAGTTCGTTACCAAGTACATTAATTTGTTCCTTATGTTCTAAAGAGAGGGCGCATTGTAAATCGGACGCTTCTAATTGTTACGCGTTAACGTAAAGTCGCGCGGCGTATGCTATGGTCAGAGCGGTCAAGGTTCAAAAGTTTTCGATTTTGCAAGAGGGCGCCGGTCATGCGTTATTACAGAATTTGCACGCATAAATCGGGGAGAACGCTATCTTGTGTTTATAAGATCTTTGACTTAAGGCAGAAAAATAAGGTAGGCTAAAGGCCAACTCAGACAGCGTCGGCCGACGCAGCCCAACCCGATTTATCGTCGGGGACAGTCTTAAGCCGTCGTGAGAAATATTAAACATGTTTAATATTCTACGACGCGACTGCCCTCGACGCAAACCATCGCGTCTGCGTTGAACTCACACAGGACAACAAATCGGGTCGGGCTGCGTCGGCCGACGCTGTCTGAGTTGGCCTTAAAATGTCTTGGTAGTTGGTCGAGACAGTTTAGTCGACACAGTGAAATTAATGGACTAATGTTTAGTATAGTAATTATAATATCCCTATGCCTAGACACTGTTTACGTACAGCACGGTCTTTGAAATATAAAGCAGCGTTGAATCCGGTCGGTTATTTGAGTGATGCAGTAATGTAAAGTAGAGTTTGGCATACATACAATATACCAGGGATTTGTGTTAGAAGAAAATTCTATGTACAGTATAATGTTAATTTCTCATAAACATTTCGTTCATATTCAATATAAATAAAAGTAAATAGGCATTCATTCATTCATTTATTTTATTTAGACACGATAGAATGTCAACACAAGGGTTGTTTTACAAATGGTCGTATATACACAAAAGACAAATATAATATAATGTATAATAGAATTATATATAGTATAAATATAATAATAATAATAGAATAATAATTAAATATAAGAATAACATTACAAATTTGACTTAAAAATCGAAAGAGAAGGCGATGATTTAATCTCAAATGGGAGACAATTCCATTGATGTGAACCCCTACACTATGCTACGTTTCTTGAAATTACTGTTAGGTTTAGGAATATGGAGTTTAAGGCAATCAAAATGTCGCAAACTGTAAGCACTTTGTTTTTCAAATTTGAAAAATTTTGAATATAAAAGGGCATAAGTAGTAGTTTGACAGATTTATACATAAAAATTGACACTTTCCTGGATCTACCGAGATACAGACTTAGCCAGCTCAGACTGTCTAACACTGTTGCAGCTGGTTCATCCCATTTGCAACCGAGGATAACACGTCCCGTCCTATTTTGAAATCTTTGAAGTTTTGCAGCCAAAGTATCACTACAGTTGCCCCAAACTTCGCTACAATACTCAAAATGAGGCAAGATGATAGAATTATATAAGGTAATTAAACAATCATTAGGGACAAAACATTTAACTCTTTTTAAGGCCCCAATACCCTTAGCAACTTTAGAGCAAACTAAATCAATTTGTTTTTCCCATGTTAAGTGTCGGTCAATTATAATCCCTAAATATTTGCACGATTCGACTTGTTTAATGTGCTCGCTTCCAATTTTAATGTTAAGTACCTGATTAACAAATCTTAATTTCTGGTGAGACCCAATTAGCATTACTTTTCATTTACATTTCTTCGTATTTAAGGTGATTTTATTTTGCTTAAGCCAGTTATTTACTTTAGCAAGATCAATTTAACATTTACTAATTTCTTCACCTGTTCTCCCAGCGCAAAATATTGCGGTATCGTCCGCAAACATGTTAACACTACAGGACAACACACAATTTGGAAAACCGTTAACAAAAATCGTAAAAAGAATAGGGCCTAGTATGGACCCTTGAGGGACACCATAATTTACGTTCAAAATCTCAGATCTGGCCTCTTCAACAACCGTAAACATTTTTCTATTTGAAAGATAAGATTTGAACCACTGCAATGCCATGTTATCCAATCCAAGTTTACTTAACTTATACACAAGTATTTTGTGGTCGACCGAGTCGAACGCTTTTTTTTAGATCAAGTGTGACTAACCCAATCACTTTTCCTTTATCAATAAAATCTATCCACTGTTCAGTTACATGAATAAGAGATGTACGTGTTGAATGCATTGGTCGAAAACCAGATTGAACATTACTTAAAAGATTTTTTTTTTCATCTAAAAACTTATATAACTGATTAAATATAACTCTTTCAAACAACTTTGAAATAATTGAAAGTAAAGAAATTGGCCAATAGTTGCCAGGATCACTGTCTATTAATTGACAGGGAATATTTCTCATAAAAAGATAATAAGTTAGCAACTGTGTCCGAAGTACTCGTAATTTGTCTCCAAACATTTTCAACATTTATATCCTTCAGAATCAGTACTATTATAGGGGCATACAATTGCTACAACACATGTCATATTTAGGATACTATACTGTTAGGCCAGCAAATTAGAGGCTATTTTGTGGTTGAGGTGCCAATGGAAGTACTACCGGCTAATTTTGATATTTTCTGAAAATATAGGTCTTTTTGTGTTTCGCTTATAAAAGTAGGTAAAACAACCTTCATCCTCTCAGCAATACAAGCTGAACCAATTTTATAATCGACATTCAAAAGCGAAACCGGTAATTACCGCCCATCTTTGCGACAACCAAAAATTTAACTAGAGCTCATGCATAATTTAAGGAGTTATGGTCCTG